AAGGTGAGCAACATATTAAGAACAGTATGCCATATATGCCAGGTCCCTTGAAACAGCAAGGATGGACCAGCTCCCGGCACTTGTGGGAAGGCGATGGTGAGGCCCTAATAGGATCCTCCCTTACTGTCCCCCCTGGTTTCCAACACAAAAGATAGGTGATTGAATATTGAGCTGATGAAGCACCTGCATAAATGAATAGGACACACGTGTTCAAGTCCCAGCTCCGTGCAGAGTGAGGGGGTCCGGCCGGCTCCATCACTTGGGGCCGCGGTTAGAGCATCTGGGAGTGAGTGCATGTGATCACGTGCGTGTGAGGTCCTGAGAGCACTTCTGGCCCAAAGCGCTCTCTAGGACCTGACCATTAACTTCTGTCATTTCTGCTCTCTTTCTAGCTGGCTCTCTTTATAGCTGGGTGCAACATGTGTAACCAGAATTTTATAAAAATATAAAACATAGAGACTAGTATATACGGGGAATAGAAAAACCATTGTTTTTATACTCTTTTGTTAACTTAAAAATATACGCTGGCTTGTGTCTCTCCCTGGGCTGGAAAGAAGTTGGTCTTCGTAACAGCTTAGTGTGGCACACACCTGTTCTTTCTTGTTTTAATGTTGATGTGTCAGACTTCCAGAGCTGCCTGTGAGAACAGTGACAGTGACACGGCAGACACCTCGACCGGTTTCAGGGCCACTGGTGTCTAACACGGAAGGAAAGTTCCTAGACACGTTACTGGGGCAGTAAACTCCACCCCCCGCCCCCCGCCCCACCTGTCAGAAACTCCTTTCTGTCCCTAGAAGCAGATCTGCGCTCTTGGGGAGCACAGTGAGAGAGACGAGCCAGGTGGGAAGACTTTAACTTGCTCCAGAGAACAGGGGCGTTCGAACCTGTGAACCAAACAGCTCTTGGATTGACACACGCACGTTCTGGCGGCCAACGGTGGAAAGTTGTCTAGATGGATCCAGTAGGTCTAGGAGAGGCGGTCCAACCACATGGAGTCAGTTAATTCAGGTTCACAGGCATGTCCGAGCTCTCTGGACGTCAGGGGCAAGAGCTCATGATTAATTTTTTAATATAAAATAACCTAGGACACCCCGTCTTTTAAGGAAATTGAAAATATTGACGTTAATCTCTGCTTCCAGGGAGTATGGAGCCATTGACGACGTAGATATTGATCTGCATGTCGATGTCAGCTTTCTTGATGTAAGTATCAATTCATGCAACGTGACCGCTACCTTTAAAAAATGCTTATTTTTATGGGAGGAAATCTAATTTTTGCTATAATGCTATTAGTAATGAATTGGCTTTTTCAGAGCGATTTATGAAAAAATGCTATGACTGGTTGAAGAAACAGAATATATATATAAATATCCTCTGAAATTTGCAGTCTCTTAGTACAGTACTTCAGTATTTCTTAAGTTTTCATTTTTATTTTCATGTGAAAAGGCAAAGATTAAAAGTACGTTGGTTTTCTTTTCACAAACCGTAGGTTTTACGATAATTTGTAGGCCTTAATGATTTATGCATTTCTTCAAAATAAGTTAAAAATATTTTTTTAATTGGGAAAATACGTCTAGGCTCTACAAGACGACTAATTCATCTTTAAAATATATTTATTTGCACAGGAGGAGATTGCTGTGGCTTGGGAAGTGATTCGAACAGAACCTATAATTGTCCGACTACACTGCTCACTTACACAGTATTTAAATGGCCCAGGTTGACTTTATTTCTCTATTATTTTGAGTATTTAGTTGTGCGTTGTGCATTGAACAAGATGACGGTGCATTTGGTAATTCTGAGAGTAACTGCAGCTATCTTGATAATGACATTTAAGTACACTTGCATCCTGACAAAGATGGTTGACCGCCAGTGTGACTACTAGAAAGAGAAGCATGTACCATTTAGTTGTATAGATTTCAGGAGTTGACAGGCGTCTGTGAAATAAGCACATTAGTGCCGAAAAGAGAACTTTGCGTACAGGGGAAGCTCACATTCTGTCTCTGATCCTGAGATTTAATGTTAATGTACGTTTCTCTCACCTCTGAATCCTGATGAATTCAGCCTCAGTGTGACATATTTCTGGTTTTGAAAATGGAGATCATCATAATAGTTTTTGTACTGTGGTCCCTTAACCGATGACTTTGCTGTATCTCAACTGACAGCTGTTTGGGACAAAGGACCCTGCTATAAATCTTTGCGAGACTTACTGGATTAAATTCCTTTTTCCCCGCCTACTAACTTAGGCACGCCTGCACACACACACACACACACACACACACACACACACACACCAGTTCTCTGCTGCTGCCTGACAAACCACTCCAAATGTAGTGGCTTAAAACAGCTCCTCTCTCACCATTCTCAGGGCTCAGCAGGGCAGCCCCTGCTTGGAGTCCCCCAGGGTTTGCAGTCAGATAGATGGTGGGTGAGGCCCGTGTCATCCAAGGCTCCACTAGGCTGGATGCTCAGGACAATGGCCTTTCAGATACGTAGCCATTGTCGCAGGTGTCCCCGCGGAGCTCAGCTGGGGCTCCTGACTGGAGAGTCTACCTTGCCTGTGATTCTTCATGGGGGCGGGTCTTCCTGTAGCCCAGCGGTTCTCAACCTGTGGGTCGCGACCCCTTTGGCGGTCGAATGACCCTTTCACAGGGGTCGCCTAAGACCACCCTGCATATCAGATATTTACATGACGATTCATCACAGTAGCAACATGACAGTTATGAAGTAGCAACGAAAATACTTTTATGGTTGGGTCACACCATGAGGAATTGTATTTAAAGGGCCAGAAGGTTGAGAACCACTGCTGTAGCCTGATAACGGGTCCAGCGCAAGTGATTCAAGGGACACCTGGCCAGAAGCCCGGTGGATCTTCCTCTGTTCTCTCAGAGGAAGAGCCCTCCCAGAGCCCAGGGCCAGGGCGGAGATGGCCGCTGGCCAGGCTGCGCTGTGGCCTCTGCACTGTTTCCCTCAGGCACGGCCGGGACCTCACACCTCCTGTTCCTTTTCACGTAAGAAAGGAAGCCGCCCTTTCCAGCTGACGCAGTACACAGGAGAGCTCTCTTTCTGAAAATGCTTCCATAGTCACCTCTTTCCTCTAAAAAAAATATTTTTCTTGGTTTCAGAGAGGAAGGGAGAAGGAGAGAGAGAGAAATATCAGTGATGAGAGAGAATCATTGATCGGCTGCCTCTGGCACGCCCCCCCACTTGGGAATGGAGTCTGCAACCTGGGAATGTGCCCTGACCTGGAATCGAACTGTGACCTCCTGGTTCATAGGCCTCCATTCAGTCACTGAGCCACACTGGCCGGGCTGGTCACTTCTTTTCCATATTTGTATGACGTATTCTACTTAAGGAATCCTCAATACAAGTCACAGAGTAAGTTATATAACTTAATGTTAGGCAAAGACAAATAGATGTTTTTTCATTTTGTTTACTTCAAATATATATAAAGGTAATAAAGAAGAAAAATGATTACTCATAATCCTGCTACGCTGAGAAAACTGTAAATAGTTTGTTTTCCGTACCTGCCTGGTTGGCTTGCATAAATCGTCATTGAGTCATTAAGGAGTTATGCATCGTCATGTCCTGAGCCTCTGCTCCAGTCATTAAACCTTCCAAACCGGGGTGATTTGTGGGATCTGCGCAGTGTTCCAGCCAGTCGCTGTGTTCTCCTTTCTTTTTTAAAAAAATATTTTATTGATTTTTTACAGAGAGGAAGGGAGAGGGATAGAGAGTTAGAAACATCGATGAGAGAGAAACATCGATCAGCTGCCTCCTGCACACTCCCTACTGGAGATGTGCCTGCAACCAAGGCACATGCCCTTGAGCGGAATCGAACCTGGGACCCTTGAGTCCACAGGCCGACGCTCTGTCCACTGAGCCACACCGGTTAGGGCGTGTTCTGCTTTCTTTAGCGATTGAAATGCACCACTTAGTTTTACTCCGATGGTGGTGAAAGGAAGAGAAGCCCTTGTCAGAGTGTGTTTGGTTCCGAGTTATCGGGTCAGAGCGTGTTTGGATCCGAGTTACGGGGTCAGAGTGTGTTTGGTTCCGAGTTATCGGGTCAGAGCGTGTTTGGATCCGAGTTATCGGGTCAGAGCGTGTTTGGTTCTGAGTTATCGGGCTCAGAGCGTGTTTGGTTCTGAGTTATTGGGCTCAGAGCATGTTTGGTTCCGAGTTATCGGGCTCAGAGCGTGTTTGGTTCCGAGTTACCAGGTTAGGAACAAAACTGGGTCAGTTCACCTGTTCCCCCAACTCCATGCTGAGAGGAGAACGAGCGTGCCTTTATGTGATCTTACTGCCGCTGCTCATTTTTAATATAATCTTCGATTCCAGGCAGGATTTCCCTTCACATTATCTCTTTAAAGACTTGCCACGATTGCCTGGTTTTATTAATATTGTAACGATTATATGTCAGTTCATGTTTAGGTGGTTTTACCCTTCAGTGTCCCTTACTTAGTGTCAGAACTCCTCCATCATTTAATTTTTTCGTCTCTGTTAGTTGATTTACATATTTAATCATTTGTAAACCAACGGAACATGAGGGTTATGCTTTGTCTTTTCATACCTGAGAACGACCCCTTGTCTTGTGAACAAGACCAGCTTGACCAAGTATAACCTTATGGGGTCCTAATAGTTCCCCCCAAAAGCAAAAAAGCCCTAGAAAAAATGATGCTAGTTTCTATCTGAAAGTGTTTGAATTGTTTCTTTGTAAGAAAACTCTTTTGGTTTTGTTTGTGTTTGTTATATGTATTTACTGGGCTATTTTTTCTCTTCATATGGTTTTCAAATTGATAGACTCAAATCACCTGAACAACTTTGATGAAGTTCTTGGCTGTTTCTCCGCTATCTGCTCGCCCTGATGAGCGTAGACGGGTCTGACGCCTCTCTCTTCCATGCTTTCATCATCTGTCTTAGTCCTTCATCCTTCACCCTGAGAATTTATAACTTTATTTCACTCAGTGAATGTTTTCATGATTCAGCCTTTGATTGAGTGTCCCATCTGTTTTTAATTTGACTCCCATCCTTACCGATCCTGTTCCCTCTTTCCCATTAATCGCATCCATTTTATTTATGCAACGTTACCCTGAATGTTGTTGGGAGCATAAATCATGAGTCTTCCCAGATTGATGATTTTATTTCCGGAGATGGGGTTTTGCTTTGCTCAGTGTTGAAGCAGTTGTTGAAATGCACTTCCTTCAGAAATTAGTGTGATTTGGGCCTAATTTCTTCCATTAAGAAGACGGAAGAGAGAATCCACGCTCCCTGTCCTGTGGGTGCACGAGCTCTGACAGTGGAGGGGCTGTGCCTCTCTCTGTTGATGCCGCCCCCCCGCCCCCCGCCCCCCTGCTCCCTGGCGTCTTCAGGCTTCGCTGCTGACCGCTCACCTGGGCTTCCCCATCAGACACAGAACCGCTGTCTCCCCCTGGATCCCACCTGTGCCCGCCCTTCGGTGTGATGGACGTGGGATGCCTGGGCCCAGTGTCCTTGCCTCAGGCTGGAGAACTGCGTGGTGTGGTTTGTGCTCCAGCGTTACCCACAGGCCAGGCCCAAGCTGAGACTCGACCCTCTTCCTGCCTTCCTCCCCCTCCTCCCCCCACTCCCCCTCCTCCTCCTCTTCCCCCTCCTCCCACCCCCTATTGGCTTCTCTCCTGGGAGCAATGCCATAGGGAACTCCTTACCCCCAAGTCTCCGCTCAGGGTCTCCATGGGGGTCACGGGGAAGGAAGAGGTCAGCATCTGCTTTGGGAGGAACCTGCCAGCCCAGCCTTCGGGGCTCTGCCCTGGGCACATGGCTCCGCCCTCCACCGGCCCCTTTTTCCGAGATGTGTTCGCGGTGGTCCGCCTTAGCTTCCTCTTCTTTCAGAGAATGAGGTCAAATAGAACATGGGTCCATTCGTTCTATTTGTAGGAAAATTCTGGAAGCATCTCACACGGGGTGGCGTTACTCCAGGCTTCTGCTCCTGTGCTGGTTTCCTAATGGTTAGGGCGAGGCGGGTGCAGGCGGGGGCTTACATTGCCCTGGGACCAGCACATTTCCCCAGAGGCATTCTCCCTGAGGGGCAACATGATTTAAAACGGGCATTAATGTGAAATACAGGACATCAGCAAGAGGCAGTGATACTAAAAAGGAACATAGAGCTTACCATTCCAGAAAAACAATTAGGTTTCATTTCACTTTATGACTTGGGTTATTGCAGAAAAATAAAAAAGCGAGGAAGTATCGCTTGGCTGTTTTGTATTGTGTCTTTGAGGGTTTCGGCATTTAGAGTAAAATGAGCTGGCAGGAAAGGTAGGGCCGATCCGAGGTGTAGGCTGACCTAGTTCAGAATCCCTTTTGAAAAGCGTGTATCCTCAGGCTCTGGGAAGGTATGAATAATACCCGTGTGAGCTCCTCTGATGCTGTATCTGGGAGTGAACAGGAATGAGGAGAACTGAAGAGGTGCACTTCCTTGAAATCAAAAATAAGGATTATTTTCATTGTGCATAGGGAAATGCACTGTAAAAAGACGCTAGTGTTATGGTTTCTATACTGCTGTATGTTTTTTCCAGAATTGCTGGAGTATAAGTCTAGTTTCTGACCTTAAGGATAAGGAAGCTTTTACTTTAAAGAGGTAAACAATTAACTTGAAAATGTTTTTCTGTGCAAATCATTCTTTTTTTTTTTGGTGCCTCTTGTGTTTACATGATCAAGGTATTAGAATAATTCCCACGTATCTTAAGCAGCCCTTCCCAACCAAAATTATAAGAGACAAGGAGAAATTGAATGACTTGCACTTTTTTTTAAATATTGAAAGCACTTTATGGGTTTTATCTGTGAAATGATGCTGGGGTCCAACCCCAGCAGGTCCAGGGGTTCCCCATAGGCGTGGACGGAGTCAGCGAAGAAGGAATGACACGGAGACAGCGTTCAGTTGATCAGCAGCCTAGCCAGGATCTCTAGCCAAGTTCTGGTCAGGATCTCCAGCAAAGTTCTGTAGCCAGGTTCTGTAGCCATGTTCCCTCGCTAGGTTCTCCAGCCAGGTTCTGTCCAGGTTCTCCAGCCAGGTTCAGTCACCAGGTTCTAGTCAGGTTCTCTTGCCATGTTCTATCCAGGTTCTGTAACCAGGTTCTGTCTTTAGGTTCTTCAACCAGGGTCTCTCGATAGGTTCTGTCTCTAGGTTCTGTTGCCTGTTGTCTTGTTACATCTGTATTTATACCAGTTGATTCCAATCCTATCCCACCTGGCACTTAGTTAAGAGGTTTTATTCCCTCCCTAACTTCAGGGGAAAATCCCTACCTGGGGAAACAACCTTTCTCAGAGAGGTGACCTTGGTTAAAACACAGCGCCAAGAAGGTGAGCAAACATATTAAGAACAGTATGTCATATACACCAGGTCCCTTGAAACAGCAAGGATGGACCGGATCCCGGCAAAATACTCTTTAAAACCATTGAATGATGGGTGGTGGGTGACTTTTCTGAGAGGTTATTAATTTCATACACACAGTTATTAACACACAGAATTGCGTGTATCTGGTAAAAATATGAAGCCCATGACAGGGCCTGCAGTGAACAGAAGTCGCCTGTGCCTTACTCTCACGCTCCGTTATTTCATTCTAGAAAAAAGTGTACGTATAACCCTGGCGGGTGGCTCAGTTGGTTGGAGCATCATCCACATACAAAAAGGTGGCCGGTTCAGTTCCTGGTCAGGGCACACATCTCAGCTGTGGGTTCAACCCCTGGTAGGGGTGCCTAAAAGAGGAAACCGACTGGTGTTTCTCTTCCACATTGATCTCTCTGTCTGTTTATCTCTATCTCCTTTCCTCTCTCTCTAAAAATTAATAAAAACATATTTTTGGGTGAAGATATAATAAAAAGGTGTATGTACCTCTCTCTTCCACTGAAATAATAGTGTTCACTGTCCTACACATTGCTATTTACAATCAATATGTTTTTTTGAAGATCATTCTTCATTATTATACGCATTATACATTTACATATACACATATTATACCTTAGTATATAGCATAATGATCAAGAATGATCAAGGTATCTATATAGAAAGCATCAAAGAGATGGATAGCACTGTGTGCCCTATTTTTAAATGTGTCTATTACATGTTATGTAATGTGTACACATGTATGTATCCAGCATTTCTTACATGTACACACACACACGGAGTTACATCTATAACTTCCCAGTGTCCTGGCTGGTTGACTTTCGCCTTCACGTTGTGACTGATGTTTCTCTTTTCAGTGCCCACTGTCGATGTCTTTCAGATTTCCACCAAAGAGCGCTTCGGATTGGGGCACCAGCTGAGAAAGTGAGTTTTCCACGGAGGAGACTCCGTGCCTGTTCAGGGGACTTGCCTTTTGCCCTCCTCCACCCAGCCCCGACCCCCCCTCACCCAGGCCTTCACCGCACTATTTTCTGTGTCCATGGGCAATGCATATAAGTATGTAAGTTCTTTGGTTTAGATCTTGTCGCAATCTTGGATTAAAAAAACCTTCAAAACTTAAGTGTGAAATGAAAGGCGGGTTCTCACCTGCTCATCGCTGCCCCCGTGTGTTCAGTAAGCGCTCTACCCCGGGCACCTGGGGAGGAGCTGCCCGCGATGCTGGAGCTGAGTGGGCACTAGGTTGGCAGAGCGATGCTGGAACCCGGCTCCTCCCGCTGCTCCCCAGGTGGCTCTGATAATGCTATTGCATTGAGTCTTCCCTTGTCCTGAGCTTGGGGGTGAATTTACTATGAATTGGAATTACGCACCGGTGGCCACGGGTTTACACCTTCTTTTCTCGCTACCTCTACAGCTGAAAAGACCCCAAATCCTTCCTCCGGCCCGCGGCAGCCTGAGCTGACCTCAGCTAGCTGGCAGGCCAGGGTGGGGCAGTGGGTCTGAGTGCTGTACGTTCTGGTCAGCTGAGTTAGTTGGGTAAGATCTGAAGGGCAGTGAGAAATTCCGATTGGCTTAGTGCCAAGAGCCACACCTGTCTTTTTGAACATCACACGCTCACATATGTCAGTTCGTGTTTGAAAACGCAGGTGCGGTCCCTCTGCCGTTTCATTACCCAGGCTCACGAGCGGATGTTGTTTCCTCACTTTATTTGTGACCATGTGCAATAATAGCCCCTTTCTGCGGGTGTCCTGAGAATTAAAGAGAAAATACCTGCATTTGAGGCTCATATTTTACTTCCTGGAATATTGTCAATTATAAACAAATAATGGTACCATTTCCTGTTGCCAAGCAGCCTGTGCTACGAATCACCGAAAAGCACGTGAACAACAAGCAATGCCGAATTGACCTGAAGGGCAAAGTGTTTCGGTTGTTGCTCACATAACGTTTCACTGTCGAGGTTCCTTCTACGTGAATATCCGCCCTGAAGGACCCACTGCCCCCGGGGATGGGCACAGAGAGGGTGCTGTGGGCCCTTCTCCGGAACAGTGCCGCCCACGCCCACCGGGTGCAGTCCTTCCTGCGGGGCAGGGCAGGGGATCCTGCTCAAATGCGCTGAGATCAGTGACCAAATTCCCGCCTCATGATGGTCACTTGGGTTTTTTAAAAACCCACCATGTTTACAGGTGGAGTGAGCGGTGCTGACGGTGACAGGGGCTGACTTCGGGTTCCTCCGGGAGTCCGCTTCGCCGGCTTGGTTTATTACTGGGGACCCGGCAGTTCTGGTTTTTACTTCCCATAAAGAAAACCACATGAGCAAATCCAGCAAAGAGAAATGGACGTTGCTCCTACCTTAATAAATAAAATTGTAACTGTTAACAAAAGATTTTTCAAACTGCTTCCTGGCAACAACAAAATAACTCAGATTCCCTCAGCCTGGCCTGCGCCCTCTTGCAATGTGGGACCCCTCAGGGGCTGTAGCTGTGTGCCAAGTGGCAGGCGGCCTGGGAGGAGCCTGAGCGGGGGCGGGCGCCGCGCTGCTGATGCTCATCCTGGCTCAGGGTGCCTGCCACCCCCGCTTGGCAGCTCCGCTGCACAGTCCAGAGAGGCCCCCGCCACAGCTGCACTCACCAGCTGTGAGCCCAGCTTCTGGCTGAGCGGTGCTCCCCACCCTGGGAGCACACTGACTACCAGGGGCAGCTGCTGTGTTGAGCGTCTGCCCCCTGGTGGTCAGTACACGTCACAGTGACTGATCATTTGAGTCATTCCAAATGACCAGAATGACAGGTTGACAGGTTGCTATGACGCACACTGACCACCTGGGGGCAGATGCTCAATGCCGGTTGCTATGACGCACACTGACCACATGGGGGCAGATGCTCAATGCCAGAGCTGTCTCCTGGTGGTCAGTGCACTCTCCCGCAGCCAACCTCCCATGGCCGGCCAACCTCCCGTGGCCCCTCCCTCCCATGGCCCCTCCCTCTTATCAGTTCTTCTCCCGCAGCCCCGATTGGCCCCGATCGCTGGCCAGGCTGAGGGACCTCACCCGTGCACTAATTCGTGCACCGTGCCTCTAGTAGTCTTTATAAATCTCTATGTATCCTCCTTTTATCAGTTCTTCTGTCATTTATATTTTTTAATTTTATCACAGTAATTTATTAATAATTCATAAAATCATAAAAATTTCTGTAGGATGCTTTTTACATACAAAAACATCTTGTGTGATTCTAACATGACATCTCCCCAGTCACTACTGTGTGTCTGTTTCCCTTTGGTAAACGCATTCTCTACATAATTAATACCCAGGTCTCGTCGTCAGTGGCCTGGGCACGTGGTAACAGACTCTTTGGTTGACAGGATCATGCAGACCTTCGTCACCCAGCAGTGGAAGCAGAGCAAAGACAAACCCAGCTGCCTGCACGGCAAGAAGCTGTCGGAGAGGAAGGTGAAGTCCCCCCTGCACTTGTTTTCTACCCTGCGCAGGTGGGTACCGCGCCCTGCCCGGGGCGAAGGGCTGGGCTGGCCGCTCTGAGACTCAGCTCCCAGCGTCCTTTCTGTTCTCTCTCTTGACACTTCCAAGAACCGGCCAGGCACACAGATATCCATCAGAGTTTTGTTTGTTTGTTTCTTTTTTAAAAATATATTTCTTTATTGATTTCAGAGAGGAAGGGAGAAGGAGAGAGAGATAGAAACATCAATGATGAGAGCGAATCATTGATTTGCTGCCTCCTGCTCACCCCCCACTGGGGATCCAACCTGCAACCCAGGCATGTGCCCTTGGCCGGAATCGAACCTGGGACCCATCGGTCTGCAGGCTGACGCTCTATCCACTGAGCCAAGCCGGCTAGGGCCAGAGTTTTGTTTCTTAAATGGACTCAGATTGCATCCGTGGCTTTGTAGTCGCAGTTTCCTCCACCTGCAGTAGCTCCGTGTAGGGCTCTGGGATAAGTAGGAGAGGGAAGTCCTGGTAACCTGGTTTGCTTTTCAGGGAAAACACATTCCAGTTCCTGTGGTCCTTCCACACGCTCTTGGTTTCATCTGTGGCTGGGCGGGCTGTGTGGTGGGGGCTGTGTGGTAG